ATCATTGCAGTTGTTCTTGAAAACTCAGATGAGAATGTGTTAGGTGCAAAATGTCGGAAAAGGTGTAGGATATAGGCCTCTGTGTCCAGGGAGCTCTCATCTGTCCAAGATAAATATCGTCATTTTGATATTCAATAGGAGAATGTGATTCCACTCCACACATCAAATCATATGCCAACATCCACAGTCCCATTATTGATTGTACCAGGGCGCTTATTCAAACTGGGCGCTAAAGGAAATCACGTTTCGCGCTTATTTGAGAAGGGCGATTATTCAAACGGGGCGCTTATCGCACAAGTACGGTGTCGAAGTCATATTATAATAGCTCATGCCTATCAAATAGGAGCATAATAAGTAATAAAAATTTGTAAATTCGTCAAATATCTGTGGCTTCCAGGGGGCTTTGCACTCTAGACCCCCACCGGGGCCCTAGACCCCCAGCTAAGTGAGACTCGATTCGTTCCACTAGCCCCCCCCCCACTCCCACCCGTCGGGGCCTATAGCCCCTCCGTCGGGCAGGTCCTGGCGCCATCACTGATGCTATACCCAGGGAAGGGCACAGATCCGTTTTGAAAGATGGAAGGAAGGACATTTTGTGAGTTGACACCCACCTCAGACCCACCATGGTTGGAGCTATATATTGAGAAAATTTGAGAACCTCTTAATATATGGCCAGAAATTACACTTTTAGTAAAATTCAACATCATCACATCACCATTAGTCAAAATGAAGCGCCAACAAAAATTCTCATGATCTTTTATCAGGGATTTTTGGCAACCATCTTATTAATGTGTGTGTGATATACAATAGAAAACAAAGCTAAAACAACATCTTTGAGTATGTAGGCCTACATTACATACTTCAAACCGTGATTTCACAACCGCCTATTGTCTCATCATTATTATTATTATTGTAACAAAATGGTGCAGTCCATTTTCCTATTATAAATAGATTAGGCCACTTCCTAATGCTGGGAGCCGATTGGCTATCTAAAAATAGCTGGGTTGGGATCTTAAGACCCAAATTTTGTTTGAAGTTTATTCAATAGTCGATCCGTATTATCTGACGGCGTGTCCGACAGATATACTTACGCAGGACTTAGACTAGACTGAGACTGCTTGGCCGAAACCGCCACATTATATTATTGCTGCAAAGCAGCCAATTCATATTCTTGACAGCAATTTGACCTCTGAAAGGTCATTGTTTGTCAAAAAACAAGGGCCTAAGACGACTGAAAAGCGGAGTTTCCTTCTTTCATTCTGCCGGGTAAAATCAATTAATTTAGGCGACGTTTGTAGACTAACCTACACGTACTGTAGAAACGGTTGCGTTTCTGTAGAGTTTTGTAAGTGAAAATAGGTGGCGCACAGCGAAATGCCCAGTTGTCAGAACCACGCTAATGATCGTGTTGCTACGAGGATTGTGTATGTGTAATGACAGGAGAAACGGTACATTATTCGACCGTTTCTAAAGTTATTGGTTAGAATCCTAACTAACGGATTAAATGTTAACCTGTTCAGGAGGTGATCGGATGTTGACTGGTAATTGACTGATCACACAGTATGCTAACCTGTTTGTAGGAAACACGGCAAAGTATTAAGTCTTCATTTATTGCAGGCAAACCGTATTATGTAAGGCTTATTGTATTGAATGGTTCATAATAATGTTTTCAAGAAGTTTCTAATGTGTTTAATGGTTATTTGATTACAGAATTGAATGAGATGTTACGATAAATGATAAAGGTTACCCTCGGATATTTATCGTAATAAACGTCATAGAACTTTAACGGAGTTTCCTGCATCATTTGTTCAGTGTTTTGCGGCAATTCTTTACAAGATGTGTTTACATTCAAGTTGGTTCTTCACCAATAATTTTCAGAGTAAGAAACTATATACATTTTAAACTTTTTCCTTATTTAGGAAAACCAGAAAATACGGCTTTAATTTAGTCATATTGGTACAGAGAATTAGCAAAGAATGTTTTTTTCTTATAACTTCAAAACACAGTATAATTATGTTTATGTGTATGTCCATCAATGATACATTCAAAAAGTAAACTTTAATCAGCGATAATTGTTTTGTGGAAATAAAAGTGTGAAAAACACTCCAAAGGATTTTTCAAGTGTTTGATTTTTTTTTGTACAGTACAATGTAATATATCTATGAGTGTCCCAGTAAATTCCTAGGGAGCGCATAAAGAGACGGGTTAGAAAAATAAAATATTATTTCAAGGAAATAAAATCATTTCGTTCTCAAAATAATATTTCGTTTCCTCAAAATCATTTCGAGGAAACAAAATCATTTCGAGAGAACAAAATAATATTTTGTCCCTTCGAAATATATTTCGTTTTTGAAATAATAT